TGTTGTTGATATGTTTATAGAAACAGTTTTTGTGGTCCTTAACAGCTGTAGCTAGGTTAAGTTCTAATTGGGCTTTAGAGTCTCCTAATTTGCTCCCTGCATAGCCTCACTACTTCTTTATAATCCTCAGGAGAGACCTGCCCCCTCTTCCAAAGTTCATAAACTTTCCTTTTGTTCCCGAGGTCATGCCAAATGTCCCTATTCAGCCAGGCTGGTCTTCTTCCCCAATGACTCATTTTTCAGCACATGGGGACAGCCTGCTCCTGCGCCTTTAAGACTTCCTTCTTGAATTATGTCCAACTTTCCTGGACTCCTTTACCCTTCAGGGCTGCCTCCCAAGGGGTTTTGTCAATCAGTCTCCTGAACAGGCCAAAGTCTGCCCTCCAGAAGTCCAAGATGGCAGTTTTACTGGCTCCGCTCTTTACTTCCCCAAGGATTGAAAACTCTAATCATTTCATGATCGCTATGCCCTGGATGGCCTCTAAGTAAACTTCCCCCACAAAATCCTCTCTGTTCACAAGGAGCAGGTCCAGGAGGGCACCTTCCTTAGTTGGCTCCCTTACCAGTTGTGTCAGGAAGTTATCTTCCACACACTCCAGGAACCTCTGGGACTGTTCTCTCTCTGCTGTATTGTATTTCCAGCAGATACCAGGAAGATTGAAGTCCCCCACGAGAACAAGGGGTAGCAATTGTGAAACTTCTCTCAACTGCTTATAAAATATTCCATCCACCTCTTCATCCTGGTTGGGTGGTGTGTAAGAGGTTCCCACCATGATGTTAGACTTGTTTGCCTTTCCCCTGATTCTTACCCACAGTGACTTGACCCTATCATCACTCTCATTAATTTGTGTGCATTCATATGTCTCCCTAATATAGAGGGCCACCCCACCACCTCTTCTTCCTTACCTGTCCCTTCTGAAAAGTTGTTAGCCATTGATTGCAGCGCTGCAGTTGTGGGAGTCATCCCACCACATTTCCATGATGGCAGCTTTATCATAGTTTTGTTGCTGCAGAATGGTCTGCAGCTCCTCCTGTTTGTTGCCCATGCTGCGTACATTAGTATAAATGTACTTCAGCTGAGCTAATGATCCTGCCAACATTTTGGGAGGAGAAGCCCTAAATTCCTACCTGACCATTCTCAGCCACTTCCATGGTTACTAACTTATCAACAAGCCTAGTGTTTTTGCTGCTGCATGGGTCACCATCCCCCACCTCAACTGAGATGTCAGACTGAAAGAACACACCAGTGCACCAACCCACAAGCACCAATATGCTGCATCCAGTCTCTGCTCTGGCAAGTCTGGTTTCATCTCCATCCACTTACTGGTGATAGTTGACCAGGGCAAGGCACTGAGTCCTTTGTAAATGAGATACTGTGAGGAAACACAGCTTTTAGTGAAGGAAGTGTTAACTAGGTACTATGATGTTGCAGCAGGCTAAGAATACACTCACAGACAATTGCTGCATACCAACTGTTGCAGGGTAACTGGCTGACTGATGTGCCACAGTTGTTCAGGTGTCAAGAATAGCACAGGGATAGCAGAGCTTAACTCCCAGAAGACATGTGTACCAGGTGACTCCTTGGAATTCCTCCTACTTCTATAATTCTGTCTACTGTACCAAAGTGAAGCTAGTTGATGAAATGCCATCTGAATATTGCAGAAATTCAAAGTATGACTGCTTGGTGCCGTAGTCTGTTTAAAGCATAAATTCCTGTGTATTTAATTTATTTCAATTTTTATACGTTAGGACAACGTAAGTGTGCATCACTCAACTGTGTTTCTAGAATTTGTATGAATTATCATCCCTTTTCCTTCACTTCTCTTATTTGTTGCATCTTATTTACTTCATAAGTTTTTGACCACAGTGCCTGTGGATACCAACATGCCTGCCTTAGAGTTGGATTCTGGCAGTGATCTGGACAATAATACAGATGATGAATATATAAATTGGGTCATGAAAAACATGTGAAAATGGCTAACTCAGTTTAATTTACATGTAAAGCTAAAAAAGTTTAGGTAAAAATATGTTAAAAATAGCTATATGAATTTATTCACATGTAGAACTAATGTAAATTAGCATTGTTTAAAGTTTCCCTCATTCTCTTCATGCTTATTAAACATGCTGGGAGATTAAATCACATATAGTTTCCATTCTTACAGTTGAAAGACTAATAAATGCATGACAGTTTTAATGCCTTTTCCCCAGAAAGCCCTGCAGTACTCTTCAGGGAATCTTGTATCAACAGGTGGGTACAGCTATGATGGAGCTGACTAAACCAAAATAAGGCAGTTGCAGCTATGCAGTCTAACAGAAAATTTACCTTAGTTGTGAAGAATTACTGCCCTGTCTTTTAAGAAAATAAGCTTTCTGTGATTGATTCTTGATGACATCATACATCTGCTTTGTATTTTTGCAAAAGGGCTGAATGCCTTAAGAGAATATTTCCTAAAATGAGATGGTCATACACTGTATTGTTGATAAGTGTTAACACTGCAAGCACAGTAGAGTGCTGACCTGTCAGGTTTACTTTGTGTCTGTTGCACTAGAGAAACAACTTTGTGCTATGGTAGTATAAACCAGCCCAAAAAACATGAGGAATTGAAGGTATTGAAGTAACTACACTTACAAGCAACGCTGTGTTTGTCCTTTTGGAAAAAAAAAAAAACAAAGCATAATCCATGTAGAACATTGTTTTCTGGTTCATCCTAGTTTGTGTCTTTTCAGTAAACCATCAATGCTTTTATTTTTCTTAAAGTATAAATAATAGAGGCAAACTCACCTGCTTATTAATTTAATCTCTAGGGATTTTGAATGTTCCTAGTCTGATGAATGACCCACTTAGTGTGTGTGTATATATATATATACGCACATATTTGTCTCTTCTGTTCATTGAGGAGCAAAGGATTTCTGTGAAAGAATCTCTTGTTCTATTTTTCATATCTCAGCAGAGTCAGTACATTTGAATTATTCAGTGGCACCAGCAAGGGGTAACTGCAGTTCAGTTACTGACATGTTCATTTCAGTTGAGCAATGAAACTGTAAGAAAAATAACCCACTTCTTTGAAAAATTTTAAGTTGAGCTGACTGGAGTATTCTAAAAATGTTGGACAATTTTCTGGGAAAAAAAAAAAAAAGAGTTAAAAGCTTTCCTGACAAAGTTCAAAGTAACACTGGAACTCTTTCTCTTAAAAAAAGGAATACTTTTGTTTTTCATTCACAGTATAATGATTTTGAATGTGTAATATAACAGACCTGATTATTTCAGATATATGAAAATCTACATTGTCTCATTGTGATATTGCATCTGAAGTTGAAAAAACAAACCACTCCAAAAATTACATCTATGGGTAATTTTTAGACGTTTCGTTCCAGGCTGTGTCCATGGTCAGTTTCATTGACTGTGTAATGCAGCACTCGTTATTAATGGTTTAGGATGAAGTCAGTGAAGTATGTGCTTGAGTGTTCAGAAATAACTTTTGCATCTAATATGGTAGGAGAGGAGAAGGGAAAAGGAAAGAATTGCATTGTCGTAAAAACAGAATGGTTAGTGACCGAGGGAGGCTGGTGAGTGATGTAGACTTGAGGTAAAATAGCAGAATAACACCTCAGATTGTAATCTGCCAAGAGCCTCTACATCTAGCAAAATAGATGAGTTCCTTGCTGAATCATTCTAGCAAGAGGACTTAATTTCCAGAAGAAGGACTCTGAAGCTTAATAAAGGAATTTTTTTTATCCTTCTATCAGTTACTAGTTTTGAAGAGGGAAGAAAAAAACTTTGTCAGTCTTTGTGATTTAGAGGAGGAACTTAAAATTTCACTGTGATTGCAGTTTTTGTTACAGAAGTGAGAATTCATGATCCTTATTAAAAAAAAATGAATTTAACCAAGACATAAGCCTCTGAGGAACACTCCTGCTCGTGTATTCAGTAGAAGCTTCACTGTTTTAAACATCCAAAATATTTAAAGATTCCTGTTTCAGTCAGACGACTAGATCTCTTCTCAGAAATAATTTTCTGTGTTTTTATGCCAGACTAAAGGTGCTAAAATGGATTTTCACTATAAGACGTAGCTGATTCATACTGGGTTAGAGTTGGGAGGGAAAAAGGAAACAAGAGGAACAGAAAACGGACTCTCTACTTTCTGTAGTATATGTATGTGGACATGTGTATATATATATACATACACACACACATACATACACACACACACACTTATGCATATATAAAGACTGTGAATATGTGCATATATAGAAAGGTGTTTGTATACATTTGTATAAGCGTACATATATAGAGGTATATGCAGACAGTGTTGGAGTACCAGAGTGCTATGCAATTTTAAAGGTATGTGGTAACAAACTGTACCTGTATTTATTTTGTGCTGTCTCACTTCAAGGGCATTCTGTATTGTGACTTGCTATGATTAAAAACGGAGTCATTCTAAAATGGGTGAAATTAAAAAAAAAAAACAAAACCACAACATTTAAATCTTTCGTCTTCTTATACTTCAACTTCAGCCTGATTGTATTTTAAAAGTGGTCCATGCAATTACAAGGTTTGGGAATGTATTCATAAAATCAAGAGTCTTACTGAAATGGATGAACACCTACTATTGTGTTTCTTGTGATAAAACGTGGCAGTTGACAACAGTAAAGACTTGAGATCACCAAGAAATAATGTATTCCAAGCAACATTGAACAAAACCTTGCAAGTCTTAGTATTGAAAGAAATACAAAGATGACTCTTACGCTTTGTGTAGAAAGGAACAGATACTACAAGTGTGTGAAATCTGATCAGTCTGACACAAGAAAGTAACTTAATCTCTGCTGACTTTAATCCCTTGACAGCTTTCTTTAACTGCTTAATTGTTGTCTTTTTGTTGTTA